AATTTTTCTTGGCTATTTTAAAGGGCTGAAATAGTAATCGGAAATAGGGGCTACACTGGTCTGCATAAGGGTGGGGGCAACTAACCATCAGAGTTATTTTAGGAAAAATAAACTATAGCCGGTTGCCTTTTTTAACTATGCATCAAAAGCGAGAGGAACAATAGAATGTTAGAGTATCACATTACCTAAATAAAGTTAGAAAATACACTATTGCATGTTTAGAATGTTACATCACCCATGTATTTTGTTAAAAAACAACAAACTAGATAGTGCTAAAAATGTTAGAATATCACATCACCTTAATAAATTTAAGAAATACACTATTATATGTTTAGAATATTACATCCCCCATATATTTTGTTAAAAAACAGTATCGTAGATAGTGCTTAGAAATTTAGAATATCACATCATCTTCACAAAACTCAGAAATACAATATTATATGTTTAGAATATCACATCACCCATATATTGTTATAAAACAATATCGTAGTCTACGATATTGTTTTTGCACAATCTACGACGTAGATTGTGCTTAGAATGTTAGATTATCACATCACTTTCGCAAAACCCAGAAATGCAATATTATATGTTTAGAATATCACATCACCCATGTATTTTGTTAAAAAACCAACATACTAGATATTGTTTGTTAAAAAACAACATTTTTTGAACAACGTACTAGATATTGTTTGTTAAATTACAACATTTCTTGTATTATTCGGACGCACTCGGTACTCTACTAAGTTCTATTACTTCAAAACGCATCCTCGTTTTCATTATTTTTACTGGTGCGGTGATATTCTAAGGTGCGGTGATATTCTATTACAAAACACCTTAAATTTTTGACTTACAGAAACTAACAGGGAATGAATACAAACATTACAACAATATAAAAACATTAGTAACCGTAGCTCCAAATTCATCAATAATTTCTTTAAAAAATTTCTAAAGCATAGAGAAGCTAAATTTCGAATAAAAAAATTACATATCGCAACAACTATTTAGATTGCATTACAAAATACTCTTGTATAATATATGATTAAGGCTTTAATATTAATACAAATGAAGTGATTTTAATTAAATCTATTTTCATCAGTCACTTAAAAAACATGATGAGTATTTGTATAAAGATAATTAAAATTTCAAACAATAATATTAGCTTTACTTGTTTTTTTTTTTAGGTGAATCAATTGCAATTGATGGAATTTCTTTAAAATGCTGAGGTAATCAAAATAATTTTTAAGTGTTCAGGAGTTTTAAGGATTTAATTATTTAGCAAAAAAAATGTTTGATAATGAGTTCAATTTAAATTAAAAAAAAAAAAAATTAATATTAGTTCTCGCATAATTAATATCAGTTCTCTTATCTATTAAAATTTAGAACATTTTCCAACAATTTTGTGACCTCCATGAATATGAAGGGGAAAGGTGGAAATATGCTTTAAGAGCACTAGTTTATATTGTGTAGTGAAAGGTATACCTTTATAAGATATGTAAAACATTTTTATTCTCTTTTTTTATGTATTCAAATTTTTCTCCTTGTGTTTTTTTTTTTTTTTTCCTATTTCTTTTTTATTAATAGCTTCTTCTAATAAATACGATGGAGCGACTGAAACTTTAATTGATGCCATTTTGTCTAACTTCTAAAAATGCGCTTCATTTCGAAAAGGTGGCAGAGAAGAAAAAATTTAGATTGATTGATATAAATTTATATTTATAAAAATCAATCTAAAATTTCTTTATTGAAATATTTACACAATTTCAATAAAGAAATATTTCCTTTTAGTCTGCTAATATTTTTTTTTTCAGTGTTAATTCAACATTACAAATTAAAACTCAATTATGAAAAAAGCCTAGAATTGAGTTGATGTTTTAAGTAAAATAAGAAAAGCCCAAAAAGTAACTGATGTAATATTTTTTTTTTTGATAAAAAAAAAATTCAAATAATGTTTAAAATTGGTATTAATATTAATGTTTATTAGATGAAGATGAGTAAAAAATAAGTAATGTTTATTAGATGAAGATAAGTAAAAAAATAAGTTACAAGTTATTTTTTGGTCTTGAAAATTGTTTGAATGATAATTTATTATTTATCAAAATATTTTCTTTTTTAATTTTTGTTGTTTTTATATTTTAATTAAAAGTCGATATTATTGTGTCATATATTATAATATACTTTATATTATACTATTATATTTTGTATTAATAATGAGTATTTTTTTTTTTTTGTGTGTATTTCTATTTTTTTTTCAATATTCCATAATTATCTTATGTAGATGTTTATAATTTAGCAACCTAATATTCTTTCATTATTTGTCTTTGTTATTGAGCCTTAAGTTATTTGAACATAATATATTCAGAGCTCTGCTGAATAATAGAGTAATAAATAAATTAATAAAAATGAGTTTAAAATATAATAAATTTATAAAATAAAGAAAATCTTATCTTTGCGTATAATGTCTACTAATATTATTGTTTAGCAAGTATCATGGTTATAAAATGTTCAAATTTAGCTAGTTTAATTAGGCCTGTTAGTACACTTATATTATGGTTTCTCCATTTTATATTAGTTCATGTAATTTTTTCAAAATCGAATATGCGGAAAGGAGCTGTTTGGAATGAAGATTTACAAGAAGAAGTAATTCCATCTGAATGGATTAGTGATAAAACTGTTTGTTGGCTTCCAGGTACCAAAGCATTGACTGCACTAAAATGCAGAGAAGAATTGGCTTAAGTTTATACAAATAAAAACTAAATTCTCTTCAGGTATTACATCTATATATTACAATTATTATTTTTTAAATAATGTGGTAAGAAGAGTTATTTTGTTGATACAAAATATATAACTATGTGTATAACTATTTCAATTCTAAACGAAAGCAAACAGTATTGTGAAAATTTTAAATTCACAACTACAAAAGAAAAATGTGATAATGAGAATGTTGACAAGTGGATGCAAGATTTGCACACATGTGGAAATTTGGATGCAAATTCTCCACTTGTGTCGTTTGGATGGTTCTCCACAATATAATATATCTCCACAAAAATAATATTAGATTTACTTCATGTTTTTTTAAAGATAAATCAATTACAGTTAATTGGTGGAGTTACCTCATTTATAATCAGGGTGTCTGCAGCTCCTCTAAAATCCTCTTAAGTCCTCTTTTTTTAAAACCATTTCTAAAATCCTCTATTATTCTCTAAAGAGGTAAAAATTTGATCAAAGCTCCTCATTAATTCTTCCTTTTATTAATTTTTGATGGATGTATAATGTTCAAAATACCCATTCTCGGTCTGCAAAACTGGTTAATCCCTTAAAGTGTATGGAATTGTAAAAAATTGCTTTAGAAAATGCATGCTATTTAACATAACAAATGACATTATTTGATCCCTGTCCAAGCCCCATAAGTGTATAAACATGGACGTTACACCATTAATAAATGGCCACATAAAATTTCTTATCAAAATTTTATGTGGCCACCCCGAAAATTATTTTTCAATGCTAGAAATGTTTTATATTTTAATTATTAATTTTTTTTTAATATATTAAAAAGGTTGTTTTATTTAAATTAAATATTTGAAAAAGTTATTAATAACCAACTAACAGTTATATTATTTTTTAAAAATTAAGATTATTTTCGAAACGTTATATGGCCTCGATGGGCAAAGGTGGAAAAATATGTTTTAAGAACACTAATCTATATGGCGTTGAAAAAGATATACCTTCATAAGTTGTAACACTTTTCCATTGATTATTTATTTTTTAAATCTTCCCATTTTGTTTTTTTTAATATATTTTTTTATTTACAGCTTCTTCTATTGTATTCAATGGACCAAAAGAACCCTCGGTTAATGGAACATTGTTTGACTTTCTAAATTACGCTTTATTTCAAAAATGTGGTGAAAAAGAGAAGAAATTTGTGTAGATTTTATTCAATTACATGTAAATATATGTAATATTTGAATATGTATTCTTAAATAAAACAAGTTTTATCTCTTTCTTTAATCATACCTAGCTATTTTAACTAAACTAAACTGAAAAAGTTCTAAATAGTAAAAGTATAGACTATGAATAGATTTAATATCCATAATATACCTTGATAATCTACATCAACACTAATGTACATGCATAGTACGTTTTGTTGGTGATCATATTTTGACGCACATCGCACGTTTACATACATATATATATATATTTTGACATACATAGCACGTTTTGATGGTGAAAAAGTGTTTTACAATCGTTTAACGTTGATAAATCAACGTTCAAAAACTATCATTTTAAACGTTGTATCAACGTAAATTCAACGTTATTGTAACGTTTTTTCGCGTCGAACCAACGTTGATATAACGTTTGAATCAACATTGATTTAACGTTGATAAATCAACGTTAAAAAAAACTTTTATTCTAAACGTTAAACCAGCGTTAAATCAACGTTAGGTTTCAACGATATTTCAACGTTATTTGCCGGCTGGGGTAGAACTCAACCCAGCAAGCACAATGACGTTGAAATAACGTTAAAACAACGTCGCAAACCGACCATATACCACGTTGAAACAACGTTAAAATTTGGTTGAATTGGAAATAAAATCCGACGTCGAAAACTACGATGTTGAAACAACGTCGATGATTACGTCGTTTCAACGTTGATCTAATGTCTTATCGACTACATATCAACCATATTTCAACTTTGAATAGGTGATATACTCGATTGATACGTAGTTGATAAGACGTTAGAACAACGTTGAAACAACGTAAATTCAACGTTGATTTTTGTTTTTTATTTTGGTTAAATCCAATTAACTAAAAAATTATCTCAACTTTAATTGCAACAAAATAATACAATAAAAAAGCAATAATTTGTGCAGAGGATACTATATTTCACGTAAATTAATCAAATACAACTAAATTGCTTCAACGGACTTTATATACAATGCAAATAAAGTAAAATGTTTGAAAAAAAAAAGTTTTATTTATCAGTAATATATTTATCAATAATAACTATTATCAATAGTTCCAGAACAACTAGGAAAAAGTATGAATGTTATACATCGGGTGAACTGCCTTTTACGCGCCGATCACCACCATTTGATCTGTCGAGTGCGTATTTTAATAAAGTCATTCCTTTCTTATTTCGGTAACTGTAGCTGTAGTCCCTTTAATTGACAAAACGCTCTCTATAAAAAAAGGTATTGCCTGAGTAATTTGCATCAAATACATCAAAAAGTTAAAAATAAAATAGCATTAAAAAAACGAACTGTGATTTTTAAAAAATATATAATTTTACACTTAACTTACAAGTAAATACCTAATGTTTGTTCCTTTAAACTTCTCTTTACCTTTACCGCCAGCCATATTAAATTTCGATTATAAACCGTTGGTCAACAACCTGCATTATACATTGTTACTATTATTACAGTTACATTAAAAATTGCTAAAACTAAGTAAAAATAATATTAAACTTTTTATATTTACCAGTGTCATTTTCTTTGATATGATTGTAGAATAAACAACCAAGTTCACACAAATTATAATTCTAAAATAGAATTTAATGAGGAAAAAATTCCTTTTTTTATGTACTTTTGAAAAAAATTTTATAAAAATAATAACATTTTTATAAAAGTTCTGAAGACTCCTACAAAAATTGCTATAAAAGTTTTTTTTTCAAATATCATAAAGACTTTATAAAGAAATTTTTACACAAAGTAGAGAAATTAATCAATAAAAAGTTCTGAAAAAAGGTAATAAAAAAACTTTATTTTTAAACAAAAAGTTCAACATACTTTACAAGTTATGAGACACTTCGTCAGGTTATAAGTTTGATTAAGGTTGCATGCTGTCATACACTAAATATAAAAAAAACGAAACACCTGTTAAACTGAAAATTAATTTTTATTATTAGAAACAAGCCTTAAAAGATATAATGTATATTTAAATTCTGTAGAATGGTAAAATCGTCATCGTCTCATATAAATTTATTACAAATGTCTCCTGATTTCTTATAATACTTAATTTTGTAAACTATATCAACTACTTCTATAACTTCTGCGAAATAAAGCCTCTAGGCTTTATCTAGGCTCTATCTAGCTTTATCTATTTTATTTCGGCCAACTTGATGATTAAAAAACTCAGAAAAATTTTATATAAAGTAAGTATATTTACTCCAAAATAAATTTCATCAGAACTTTCATCATTTAAAAACTAAAAGATAATCTGTTTTGTTATTTTAGGTGTATCAGTGAAAGTATGCAATTTTCTTTTACACCTATTAGGTGTTTTTTTGTATAAGTTATTATTCTTAACCTGGCATTGGAATGAGGTCGTATTATTTTAGGTAAAACAATAAATAATATTGATGGTAAACTCACAGGAGCCCTTTCTCATAAATTAAATGATGTCGATGGTGAAATGGCAGGAGCAGTTTTAACACCAATACTATCATTAGAAATGGAAACTTCAGTATTCACTATTGGCCTATCAGTAATATTTGCAGCTAAAATATTTAAAGCAATAAAAGTTCTTTCACCCATGTTCCCCAGGGCTGTCCTGAGGGGGGCAAAGGGGTGTCTAGCCCCTGGTGATTTGTCATTCTTTGTTAGTTATTCTGGAAAGACAATCTGGTGATCAACTTTCTGGAGGAATATATTGGCTTCCTACTTATAATAAAAGTAAGTTTTAAATGTGTTTTCCAAAATACATATTATTCTCAATGAAAAATTGCATGAACTGCAAAGATTTCTTACCAAACCGTAATGCAAGTAAGAAAAGGAATTGATACAGGGAAAGAGTTTGGTCCAAGGAGACCACCTTCTAAATGCAAGAAAACACTAAGAGCGGACAGTATAATCAGAAATATCTGCCTGTAAAACAGAAAAAAAGCCACTAAACTTACCCATGAAGCTGCAATTGTTGTGTCAGACCCGACTATTTGTAGAAGGCTAAAGGAAAAGGGACTGATGTCCAGCCAAAAAAGTCAAAAAGTGACAAAAAAATTCAAAAATATTAAAAATAATGTCAAAAATCTTATATTTATGCAAGATGGTGCAACATGCCACACAATAAAAACTGTTATGGCTTAGTTAATGTATTGCTATGGCAAGACAACTTGCATGATCTTAACCCCAAAGAAAACATTTGGGAAATAGTAAAGCAAAAGATTGGAAAAAAAAATCTTACTAATAAGCAAGAACTTATGGAAGAGATTATCAAGATCTGGCATAATAACCCAGAGTTGACAAAAACTATAAAAAATAAATTGCAAGCATGCCACAATGCAATGAAGCAGCTATTGCAAATAAAAGTGTTTTTGCAAAATATTTATACTTTATATATATTTTATATAATTTATCATAATAATCAATAAATATTCAAAATGTTCAACTTTATTTATTTTTATCAAGTACAACTTTATAAATAAAAGAAAAAACTTTAAATTGCACCATTATTATATATATATATATATATATATATATATATATATATATATATATATATATATATATATATATATATATATATATATATATATATATATATATATATATATATATATATATATATATATATATATATATATATATATATATATATATATATATAATAATGTACATAATATATATGTACATATATATAATAATGTACGTAATATATATGTACATAAATATATATATAATATATATTTATGTACATATATATGTATGTATATATAGAGTAAAAAAAAAGTATGCGTTACAAATCAACCTTTGTACTTTAAGGTTGTTCTTTAGCTCAAGGAAATACAAAAGTTAGAGTAAACAGTTACAAAAACAATTATAATCAGACATAAAAAAAAAAAAATTATTTTATGTCTGATTAGAATTCGTCAAACTTTTGTAAATATATGCAACATATATTTTTAACACAAGTTTAAAACAAACTATTATAAAAAGATTCAAAATTTTTTTTATATAAAACTACTTTTAACAAACCTTTGCATCACATTTATTTGTATTTGTCTTAATGGTTTTACCTCCAATTTTAGAAAGTTTGTTAACCTAAAGGTTTAAGAAAATAAATACACCATATTATTTTTAAAGTACATTTATAAAAAGTTACAAGTAGATTAACTTAGGCTAAGTTATTAATAAATACTTAATCAAAAAACAATAAAAAAAACTGCAAAAAGTCATGGTTTGAAACAACCCATCACTTCTCACCTCAACCAAGAATCATTTAAACTGTTATCAAAATCATTAAATTACTGCCGCAAGTTCATCCATAGAATTTCAGAACTATTTGTCATGATATTACTTTAATTACTAGAAAGAGTTTTTACTAACATTTCTTTCTAACAATAAAGATATATGAGAAAGACAAAGGAACCAAACATTAATTAATTTCTAAAAGAGTTGAAACACAAGAACAAAACATTTATAAAATAAAACATTCATAAATTAAATAAAATGTATTAATTTAGCAACCAAAGAAATGTGTAAATCACTGAAGCATAGAAAAAAATGTTCAGAATCTTTTCTTCCTAAATCAACTTGCAGACAGACAATAATTACCTTGAGCTACAGTATGTGGAGTATGCATAAAAATTGATTTCTGTTTCCTGTTTTTGCGTTACAGGAGTAAATATTTGCTTACTATTCTGTTGGTTATTATGTTTTCTCTTGCATAAGCATGGTAGTAGCTCCTATAAAAATTAATATCAAAATATAACAAATAATACTTGAATAAAGTATCTTTTGAAAAAGTTACCGTTTTCTGAACCTGATTCTATCTGAGTATCACTAGTAGAGGCAAATTCAAATTTATTACATAACTCATGATCTAAGAATAATCATTCAATTTAAAAATGTTTTATATACATTATATAATAAAGAATATATAATAAAGAATATATCTAAACACTGAAAACAACTTATACAGAATGAAAGCATGTTAAAAAAACAAGGAAAAAAAGTAATGACTTAAGGTTTATATTTAAAAAAATTACATTATCTCAAATACATTTAATTTTGAGCAGCGTAAATCTGTATTAGTTAGATGGGGTTTACGCATTTCATTGAAACAATTTATTACATTTAATGATGGCCAGCACAAAAAATTATCAATCGAATTTTCTCTCTTTATTTCTCTGTATTTTCTATTCAAACAGCTCGAATGAACATTTTGCATGCCCTACAATACTTTTTCAACTGGAAAAGTATAGTAGAAAATATAATAGAAAAAATACGTATATATTAAAAATTTGTTCATGTAAAATAGCTAACAGAAAAATACAACTTTAAACTGTACGTTATGATACATTATACAGTTGCTAAAATTTGCTAAATTTTTTTTCATACAACTTTACAAGAAAAATCTTTAAAAATTTAATAAAAATTTTTTAATATAAAAAATAACCAAACTCTTTAAATCACATGGATTAATAAAAAAGCTTGATAAATCATTATTTTGTAAAATATCATTCATTATATATATTTAAATTATGTATGTATATACATATATATAGTGTATGTATATATTATATATGCATATTATATATATGTATATATGTATATATATATATATATATATATATATATATATATATATATATATATATATATATATATATATATATATATATATATATATATATATATATATATATATATATATATATATATATATATATATATATATATGTATATATATATATATATATATATATATATATATATATATGTATACATATATATATATTATGCATATATAATATATACATACACTATACACGTATATATACATACATAATATAAATATATATATACTATATATACATATATATATATATATATATATATATATATATATATATATATATATATATATATATATATTATATATATATATATAATATATATATATATATATATATATATATATATATATATATATATACATATATATATAATATATATTATATATATATATATATATATATATATATATATATATATATATATATATATATATATATATATATATATATATATATATATATTATATAAATAAGAAAAACATATATAATATATATATATATATATATATATATATATATATATATATATATATATATATATATATATATATATATATATATATATATATATATATATATATATATATATATGTATATATATATATATATATATATATATATATATATATATATATATATATATATATAATATATATATATATATATATATATATATATATATATTATATTTATATAATATATCAAGTAGTCTCTACTTGTTCTCCACATCCACACTCATGAAATAATACGGTCATAAAGAAATATCCATTTAATATTTACCTAACTAACTGCATCACAAGTTAAGCCATGTATTATTGTTAAATTGTCAAATTCAAAACCTTATAAAAAGGCAACAGATGACCTAATTTATTAGCATGTGTGACTTTACTTGATTTTATTGTTATTTATAGGCTAATAAATAACTTGTTGAGTCTTTACTTGTTACTTGTTATGTTGATAAAAAAATTTTAAGTCACGCATGCGTATTTTAGTTCTCATATTGCAATTACGAACGATCGAACTCGTAATATAGACGTTGAATCAATGTGGAATCAACGTCAATTTTATTTGATAGTTTTAAACAAATATTTCAACGTTGATACAACGTTGATTTTTGGTTATACGACGTCGCGACTAAAAATCAACTGTAAATCAACGTCGAAATAACGTCGTGTGCCCACTGGGAAAGGTATAAAATACAAGCCTTTATAACTGTTTCGCAAAATCTTTTTAAAAAAAAAAACTTTTTGTCTAATACTCTTTTTCTACGTACTTTTTCTCCAAAATTCTAGTTTTAGCAAAATAATTGATGATAATTTTGGTTTTTGCCTTACCAAACCATTTTTAGGCATTTGAATGACACTTAAAATAAAATATTTGAAGAGTAAATTTTTGCTAAAAATGGCAACAATCAATTTTTGAAGAGAAAATCTTCTTTTATAGGCTAAAAGTGACCTAATCACTCTGCTTCATAAACCTTTTCGCAATTAGACGGCATTTATGAATCACGTGGTATATTATTTTTATCGGGAGGGAGAAATTATTAATAAAATATTTAGATAATGCTTAACTGATTTTTTATTATCTATTTAAAATTGAATAGTTTATTTGAAAATATGTTGTTTTTTAACATGCCACTTAAACTTATAAAGGTTTTTCAAATTTATGTGTCAAGTAGCTTATTAGTTTTTGAGCTGTTCGTGGGTTTAGTACAACTAAACGTTAAGTCGAGCTTGTTGCCAGAGAATTTACTGCAATGGAATCCAATATAGATGTTATCGAGACAGCAAAAGAAGAGGAGAAAAAACGTAAACAATCACATACAAAAAAATTTAAAGCTTTTGATCTATTGACCCAAATTTTATACATATATCATGGGCAAGTACTCAGCCATCAAAACTAAAAAAAATCTATAGTCTACAAAAACACGCATGCAGAATCATTTACTTTAAAAAAAAGCGGGAACATGCAAAACCTATAATGAAAGATATGAAAATCATGGATGTTTTTGAAATAAATATCTATCAGCATTTAATTTTTATGTATCAATTTAATAATAATCTCTCTCCTACAAACTTTACTAACAAGTTTGAAATAAACATAATTGAAAACTACTATCTAAGAGCAAATATAAGTAACACATATAAACTGCCTCAAAACCTTAATAAATATACTGAATATAGCATTGCATATCGGGGGCCAAATATATGGAATAGATATCAAAAAGGATCCAAATGTATGGCAAAGTCATTAAGTTCATTTAAGTTTCTGATAAAATTTTTTTTTTTTAAATTTGATTATTATTTGTGCTTAAAAGGATTACAAAGTAATTTTCTTTATAATCTTATTTATTTGTTTTTATTGATCAGCGCAGCAGTTTTATGCCCATTAGGGTTTTTAATTTAATTTAATATCCATAACCTAATGTAAATGTATATAGGGGGCTCTATGAAAAGATTGCGATGACGTTTTGTCATCTTCATCTTCTTTGAGCCCCTGTCTGTTTAACTCTTTATATATACAAAAACGGTGCTTGTTGACAAGATTTTACTGTCTTCTTTGTTATACGGACATATTTCTTTCTTTCTTGTATATATATGTGTTGATTATATTTGTTAAACAGCAAAATAAATGTAAAAAAAAAAAAAAAAAAAAAAAAAAAAAAAAAAAAAAAAAACATACGGAAAATAGAAAAGACTTAGTAGCTGAATGGTCAAGTATAACTATGGGAAACATTTTTTCGTATATACTCAAAAAAAAATCAATTCATAGTATATTGGCAAGTACAAAGACCAAAAAGCCTTTTCATTTTTTGATAGTGGTTTTGTAGGCCCTATTATGCACTTTAGAATTAAAAAACATATTTTGTTTGTATATTCTGAAGTTTGTTGTTCGCAAAAAATCAAGAAAAAAATAAAACTTCGGATGGCTTTTAGTAAGTGTGACATACTTTCTTTTTGGTGTTTGTGCATATATGGAGCTTTCGAAGTTTGCAACCATATCATTACCACCCTTAATAAAATGGATTACGCTAACAACAAAGGTTGGTGTAATCCACCATGTACTGAACAAGCGTGTGTCTGGAAAAAATTCTCCCAAAAACACATTAAACCACGTTTAATAAATGACCTATTTTTAAAAAAAGAATAGCAAATAATAAAGCAAATGGTAATGATAATAAGGAAAAAACACAATTCTTCTTCTGTAATATTCAAATCAAAAGTTAAAACACTTAATGAAAATATTGAAAGTATTCCGGATCTTGAGGAGTTATCATTTAAAGTACTTTCTGACCATTCTAATGCTGATAAGACAACTTTATGCAAAATATTTTTTGAAAAAATGGTAATGACAGATAAAACACAAACCGCAAGTCAACATATTTTAATGTTTGAACACTTATATGCCGAAGTAGTAAAATTAGATCGAGAGCTTTGGGAAACGGTGGAAACAATAAAGATA